GTGGTGTGTACGTGTTACAGCAGTGTTCACCGGGCTGACCATTAAAAGCAGTGTACTATGACTTGGAAAAGCTGGGAACCAGTCTCTGATACCTCTGCTGTTTGACTACATGCTGACACAGTAACCGGAAGCTCTGCCCTGGTGTACCACTCTGACTTTTACACTTCCTGACACCTACTCCCTAACTTTAGACAAGGAAAGCAGGGTTGTCGCTGTTTCTCCACCACAAATCGTCACCTACAAATAGTTATATGACCTTTTGATTTTAGGAAGCAGGAAAAGCAGCTTTAGGCACCATAAAACTTACTGTCGAACAAGGGTGAGTCCAACCTCCACCTCCATTCTGTGGACAGCAGAGAGGCGCATTAAAAAGTCGAGAGACACAGCTGTGTGAAGGAAGACAACTGTTACCCTTCAGTCAAACATTCAGGTGGATAGTCTGTCCATGTCCAAACTGTCTGTGAAACTGCTCACGCGGAACCATGCACCCTTTAAACCAGAGTAGTGCAGAGCTGTGACGTGGAAGTAAAATGATACATGGTTTCAAAAATAAAACTCTAAGTGTGCCATACATTTACATCAATCTCCCTCAACAAATACTCTGTACTCTGTATCCATCTATCTATCTATCTATCACCAGTTTTTATAGGAAAATAAAATATTTATACAGAAATCCTGCAAATCAAGAAATAACCAAAATGAATGTGATTAAAGTGTTTTGAAACCTGTTTCCTGTTACATCTGGTGTAAAACTAACACAGCATTTCAGAAAAGAACTTCATACCATCAATCAACCATGGTGGTGGTACTGTAAGGATATAGGGTTGCCTTGAAAATGTGACTTAACATAATTGATGGAACCATGATTTTTGCTTTCAACAGGAGATCTTGAAGTAGTAGTTTCCTAGCATTAATTTTTAATTTTTTTTAAGTATCATCTTAATTATACATTTTTATTCTCTTTAATTATTTGTGTTTGTTAATTATTTAATTACCTTTTTATATATGTACCTCCAAATTGCTCTAAAATGGTTTTGAAGTGGCCTAGTCAAAGTTTAGTTTAAATCCAAATGAGATGCTCTGCTATAACCTTAAGGGGACAGTTAATGCTTGAAAAGGCCTCAATGCGACCGAAATAAAACAATTCTGCATGGAAGAGAGGGCTGAAACTCCTCCACAGGTATGCAAAAGACTCAGTACCAGTTAATGGAAAAATTGCATGGCAGCTGTAGCCAGCTAGGGTGGCAAAACCGGTTTTAAGGTTTAGAGTTGGTTTTGCACATAGGGCTATAGTGGTTTGTATAGCATTTCCCTCTAATAAAAAGACTCAGCATGTGAAAACTGAATTTTTTTAATGGAAAAATAAAAGCTATCATACCCTTTGTCTCTGATACTTCTCCAGACTTGAAAAACACTATAAACACATTACATATGGATCATCAACTGTAATAATAAAAAAAAACTTTCTAAGATTTCTCTTCATCAGTTAATTCAGCATTTGAAAATAAAATCCTAATTTGTGTAAACAAGTGAGTAAATAACACCTTTCTCTCACAATATTTGGTGTGGGGCTTAAATAAAAAAAATAAATGGAAAAATAAAGTTGAGTTAATTTGTATTAAAAGTATGTTACTGTCCACCTTTTCTTTTGTGGTTTTCAGATAAGATACGATTGGTTTCAGCTTCAGCTCCTCAGCTCAGACAATAGGACTAAATTCACTTGGACAATCTTGTTTTAAACATTTCAAGAGACAAAGAGGAACCTCAGGTACTCCTCCTGTATGTCTTTGTCTCTCTTTGCATGAGTAATTGTAAACTTTCTCTCAGTGCTGAATCACAGTATGAGCTGGGTAAAAGTTTGCCACATTCATATCACCTGTCCAGGGAACAGTTTGTGGAACAGTGTTTGACTTTTGTCCTTCGGCTCTCTGTCTGTGCCCTGTATTTATTGGCTTAAAGGATTTACTGAACTTTTATATTCAGGCACACAGAGAATGTATGTCAGGTTGGGTTACGCTTCCAGATAAGCATTGGATGTTTAAATGGGAAGTCAGCAGTTTTTTCTCTTGCACCTTTTTTTGTTTTTAATATTTGTGCCAGTTTCAAATTACAGCCCAAAAATAGACCTGATTATCTGTCTGTCAGATCCCAAGTCTTCATATAAAACAATGTCTAAGACTAATGAAAGATCTCAAAGATCCAGCCAATATGTAATTTTAACCATAGATAACTGGTGCACATTTGAACAAATATGCATATTCCATACCAGAATGTTTTTAAAAGGAAAACGTCATAATGTCTAAAAGTATGAAAAGTATCAAATAAAAAGTTACACTTGGTCATTCCATTACCTTTTAGACACCAAAAAACCTTTGGATGCATGCCTCTCTAAAATGGAAAGACACCACAGCCTATTATCAAAAAGAGAAAAAAAACAAAACATTGTTTTCTTGAAAAAAATACCCTCATAGTGGGAAAATGTCAAATGGATGAATGGCCACTTATTGTCAACAGGAAAAAAGGTGAACAGAGTACTCTCTGAAAGAGACATGAAAGAGGATTGTGAAAGAGAATATCTCCAGTTTTCCCTCACCTGCCTAAAATAGTCTCTTCATTTGAAAAACGCTTTATTCCAGGATTGGGAAACAATTATACTCTTGGCTTCATTAAACAAAATAAACCATAGTTAAAAAAAGAGTAAAAAATACAGCAATTGAGACTGTAAAAATAGATAACTATAGGCGAGTCAACAGCCAGACCACTAAGGCGACCATGGGTGTTGTTTGTGAGCATAAAGCTTTTCAAGTAATGAAATGTATTGTTTTGTAGTACATTGGTTTTTACCTTTTAAATTTTCTGTCAGCACTAAACATCTACGGATGTCCAAGGGTCCCTTTATTAAATTATATATCAAACTGCTCTTACCAAATGCTCCCCCTACGTTTACCCATGATAACTAGCTGTACATCAACATGTAAAACACAAACTGATTGTGTATAGAAAATAGACATTGTTAGCTGCTTTAATGTTTTGCCTTAATGTTTTCCACATTTGCACTGCTCCGTTCACAAATATAACTATTCCTTGTATTGGGTAAAATGGATGTTTCAACACCTGTACATTGAAATGGACTGGAGTAGAAGATATAATCTAAACCTTTAATTTTTATGATTTATAATTTTTTCCCAGTCACTCATTCTCAACTATAAGAAATGACAGACTGGCTTACCTCAGAGGGCTTTTAAACCCCTGAGTAGGGTGCCGGTTTGTTAGCTGTGAGATACTTCCTGTAAGTCTTCCTCCTCCTCACTTAACAAATCACCCATGTCACAAATCACTTCACTATAACAAAAATTTGCAATCACTGCTTTTGTCTTTAGTTGTCACTGTGTAGTGCTTTTGCTCAAATTTGGTTTTGCTTGAGTTTGGTTTTCAGTGCACATTGTCCTCAGTGTTTGAAAATGTCAATCTACCTATCTTACTTTTGATTTTTTTTTACCTCAGCCAGGAGGTTTTTTTGGCATCCATCCATCCATCCATCCATCCATCCATCCATCCATCCATCCATCCATCCATCCATCCATCCATCCATCCATCCATCCATTCTCAAACAGACAGACGGACTATTTCTGTTTAAGAACGGATTTTTATGACATTTTCAGACAAGGTATGTATTAAGACAAGGAACAGATGATTAGATTTTGGTGGTGATGCGGAACAACATCTGGATCCAGGATTTTTCAGAAGGATTTTTTATCATTGCCAAACATGGAATTCCCTCATGGTTCATCATCCTTTCAGCTGCTGACATGCAGTGGCCAGAGGTCATCCAGAGTAAAGTGCATCACTATAGAAAAAAGATGACATTGCCCTTTTGGAGTTCTGCATTGGTGCTTTTCTAGTTTTACATATATTTCTTGATTTTTAACATTGAAAGAAGCATAACTATCATAAGCTCCAAGCATAAACAAAACCAAATCAGAAAGATTTTAGAACTAGTGATATATTCTCTAATCAAAAAAGGTATTTTTGCAATAAATTATAAAAAATGGGGTAGATAAGCAAGATAAAATATATGTCTAAGATAGAGATTAAAAGTATTTTGTGATTTATTAAAAGGACAGTCTGCTGCTTCAGTTTATTGTCTTAAATTTGAGATTTCGTATTTCTGAGATTTTCAGTCTATTAAAATGTAAAACACTAGAGGTCACTCTTTTGCTTTTATGATTACAGTTTTTTTTGGTTATATACACATCTTTATTTAATAATTAAAGGCTCTATTGTTTTTCGATAATAATTATCGAAAAACAATAGAGCCTTTAATTATTAAATAAAGATGTGTATATAACCAAAAAAACTGTAAAACTGTTTTTCCCCCCCCCGCATATTTAGTTAATTATCAGGGCTGCACAGTGGTGCAGTTGGTAGCACTGTTGCCTTGCAGCAAGAATGATCTGGGTTCAATTCCCATCCGTGGGTCTTTCTGCATGGAGTTTGCATGTTCTCCCCGGGCATGCGTGGGTTCTCACCGGATACTCTGGCTTCCTCCCACAGTCCAACGACATGCCTGTTAGGTTAATTGGTCACTCTAAATTGCCCTTAGGTGTGTGTGAATGAGTGTGTGCTTGGTTGTTTGTGTGTTGCCCTGCGATGGACTGGTGACCTGTCCAGGGTGTACCCCGCCTCTCGCCCATAGACTGCTGGAGATTGGCACCAGCTTCCCCATGACCCACTATGGAATAAGTGGTAGAAAATTACTGACTAGTTAATTATCTTCATTTTCAAGAAAATATAGTTTTGGCAACCGGTATATAACATGCTACCATTTTTGATGTATACAACGAGGTTCCCCATTGTTGTGACTGAATCTGAGAATATTATTTAATATTTAATTTTAATATTTTATCAAATAATATTTCGGTCTGTTAAGGGTTATCCTGTGAATACCAGCCCAGTAAGGCGATGGTATTAGGACAAAATAGGAAGGTGTGAGCCAAACTCTGACATTATTGAACAGCAAAACTCTGCACACACATGGAATGAATTCACACAATTTCTTAAAATACAAGAATTTATTAACAAAAATAAGTCAACTCAAAGTTAAACATATTTCAATTAACAAACTCTTTACAATAATAAAACAATCCAACTAAACTACCAAGCAGAATTAAAGAATAAGGAAGACTAATGAGCGATGTATAATATAAACAAGTTGATTAAAGATGATTGAAAATCATGACCGAAAGAGTGATGCAACATTACCATGCAATGTTTATGTTTGAGAACCAAGGATTATCTTGAAGAATCTGGAAATGAAGTTAAGTCTTGGAACCAACTTAGGCAATAATCAGCATACCTTTAGACAACCCTTCACAATGCAAGATAAGATAAAATATTATTTTATTAAAATAATGTTTTAAAGAATGATCTGCTGAATAAAACCAACCTTCTGGATGACTAATTCTCAATGGTGTCTCAATGGTGTCAAAGAAATATTAAGGAAATAGTGAAATATTTAGGGAGGCATTTTGGAAAAGAACCAAATCTTTCTGGAGAAATGGGGCTTAATGGTATTTACTTAATTATCAAGTTCAGTAAAATAATGTTTAGGGAAATATTATTTACTGGATTGAAAACTAACAACCTTTCTGGGTAAATATTCTTTAGCAGGCAAGCACGTGTTCTTAGCTGTTAGCAGTTAAAGATAACAAATGAAGCTG